CATTAGGCAATTACAATTAGAATTAGGTGTCCTTTTTTACCTAGATTAAATTTTGAAAGTTTCTTGAAATATAAATATTTCAGCCTTCTTTYTATAAAACARTTTGACTTTCTATTTTATTGATAACTTTTGTCTTCTCTTCTATTCTCTAACTTGGTCTGCCCCCCTCAAGTCCTCAACTCGATACATCATTTGATTTTTGAACTTGGCTCTCCCAACTTTCCCATCTTCTCAAATAAATTTCCTTCTAGTTCTAGGCTTCTTTGTACTTTTTGTACAGGAGCAAAACCAAAACTGACCCAAACCGACCCAACCCGACTCAAACCGACCAAGTCAGTTTTGTCTATTAGTGGGTCGATTTCGGTTTCCACCTCAGGTAATCCGACTAGGTCGGGTCGGTTGGGAAAACCCCAATAAACCGACCCAACCCAACCCGTGAACAGCCCTAGTATAGATAAATAAGCAAATGATGAGGCTCCTAAGAGATAATATGGGTGGCTCTTGTAAAAAGGGGGTTCCAAATAATTATATAAAGCTAATTAAAGATGTATGAGGGTGGAACTATCAATGTTAAGATACTTATATCAGAGACATCAAATTTTAGTTACAATTGTAATGGATCTTCACTAAGGGTTAACACTTCGTCCTTATTTATTTACATTAATTATAAATTTATTAACTAAACATAGTCAAAAGGTTTCGTGGTGTATATTGTTTGTTGATGTCATTGTTTTAATTGATGAAGCAAAAAACTAATGAAGGATCAAATGCAAAATTAAGCTTAAAAACAAACACCTTAGGAGTTAGGAATATGTTTTAAAATAACCATGACTAAAAAGTGCATGACATATAAATTTAATAGTAATAGGAGTGAAGGTATGGTACTCTTAGAAATGGAGAGCAAGAGATAACTCAATGTGACTTTTTTCAGGTACCTTGGTTTGATGGTTCATGTCAAGAGAGAAATTGACAAAGATGTCACCCATAGAATTAGAGCAAAATGGGTAAAATGAAAGGATGCATTTGGAGTTTTATGTAATAGAAAAATACCACTTAGATTAAGGAAAATTTTATAAAACAATTACAAGGTAAGCTATACTATATGGAATAAAGTATTAAACAACCAAGAAACATGTTGAGAAAAAGAGTGTGGTATGAATGAGTAAGCTGAGGTGGATGAATGGAAAAACCAAAAATGATTGAATAGAAAATGAGCTCTCATTTAAAGGAACCTAATAATAGTTCCAATAGGTGATAAAATATGAGAATCAACTAAGATCATTTGGTCAGATGCAATGATTTGTTGCAATTGAAAGGCTAGAAGAGATGAGTCCGGATTTGGTGGACCCTTAGATTCACAAGGCGCATGAACCCTCCAATAGGAGGCATGCACGTAGACTCCTTTGAACCAATTTTAACATAATGGGCGTTTAACGTTAACTTCTATCCATCTGATTGAACCGGACGCTAAAAGACAAAAAATGGAAAACCTCGTTTTAAACTCTCCCTCCTATTCTCCCATATCCGAGCCTGACCCTGGCCAGTGAGAAGACCACCGGCGGTTTTCTTGCGCAAACGACATCAGATGGTGATGAATCAATCAACAACTAAAAAAAATCAACTGGTGGTAAGCTCCTTTTTCCTTCTTCTTCTTCTTCCCTGCACAATCGCTTATTATTACTAAGCTTTATTTGTTTTTTGTACCTTGGACTCGAACCTCAAACCTATTGAAGCTGATTGAACTCAACCTGTCAAAAGAAGTTCCAAAAATGGAGCAGGAGTAATTAATACAAATGCCATGAGCAATACACTCCTAACCAGTGCTCTATCCATGGTTTCTTTATCAGAACTTTACCCTCACTACTGCTTAATTTGTCAACATCAAGTAACAAATTCCATGAGCAATAATAAAATGATTATTTTCTGGTTGGTAAGTAACAAATGGAACTGAATTTGTTTTCTGAAATCCTGAAATTAATACGTTCATTCCCTTTCACCCATTGAACAATGGTTCGTGACTTTTTTCAAGGCACTGCCAGTGATTTGCTATCAAAAGCACTTAAAAGCCAAAAACTATGTACTTGCAACAAATTCATTCGCCTTCCCCTCAAGGTACCGCCAACTTCAAAAGCATTGAAAAGCAAAAGAAAATTAGTAATAAGTGATGTTGCAGAGAAGAAGATGATGAAAGGAGCTTACCGCTTGTTTATTGCTTCCGTCGATTGATTCCACACCATCGGACGTCAGTTGCACATGAAAATCGTTGGTGGCCTGCTCACTGGTTAGGGCTAGGGCTCGAATGAGAGGTTTTTTTTTTTCAAAAAAAAATGGGAGGGAAGTTGGAATGAAATTCTAAATTTTAAAACGAGACTTTTCATTTTTGTCTTTTAGTGTCCGGTTCAACCAGACGGATAGAAGTTAATGGCAAACACCCATTATGTTGAGGTTAGTTCAAAAGAGTCGACATGCATGCCTCCTATTGGAGGGTTCATGCGCCCCGTGAACCCAAGGGTCCACTGAATCCGGTTCCAGAAGAGCTACGGGTAAACATAAACGGATATTGGTACAAGTAATAAAAAATCATTTAAGTGCACTAGTTTAACAATGGATATGACATTGAATAGAATAGAATAGAATAGTAAAACAGGGTTCATCCGATGATTGCATATAGCTAGGGTAAAGCTTGGATAACAATGATGATGATCATAGTTTTCAAGGCGTCTAGGCAATTCTGGGCGACACTAGGGCGCCTAGGCAATAAAAAAATTATAAAATGAAAAATTGACTTTTGGCTAGTTTCTTAGTTTTATATACCATTCAACATGTATGTTAATTGAAAAATAACAATTCTCTTTATTATGAATATTAAATTTCCTCTAAAAATGTGGCAAATCATTGCATCTAAAAGATAAAAATCTCTTACATATATTAATTTCAGTATTTTCAAAAATAAAACTACTATAATAAGTATTTAATGGAGCAAATTCATATTAATTAGCTGCTAAAGAAGGTTATTAACTTTATATGATAAATATTCAAGATGGAAAGTAAAATAGAAAAAAAAAACAAGGATAGAATTTCTGTTTTATTTAATTAGAGAGAATAGAAAAAAAATAAAGAACTTTATTATTCTATTGTTTATTTCCCCTTTTTTCTTTTCTTTCTTTCTTTCTTTTTCTCTTCTCAAAACTCTTTGTTCTTTTAAATTTCAATAGCAAAACATTAGAACAAAATATAATTGATATATATATATATATAGCATATAATAAAATATATTAACACATACATTAATAAGATACAACAATATAAATGATATTATATAAGGCACCCGCCTTGTCATTTTTGTCGCATAGGCGGGTGCTTAATCACGTAGGTGGGCACCTAGTCACTTAGAAGGGCACCTAGTTGCTAAACGCCAAGGCATTTGGGCGAGACGCCCAGCCAAGGGCACCTAATCACCTAGGCGGGCGCCTAGGCAACGCCTGACAACTATTGATGATGATGATGATATCACCATTGGAGAACACAAACAAATGCTTCCCACTTCCACACACAAAATAACATGACAAAGATGAAAGAAAATAAGGAACTTTTGGAAGAGCAAAGCTTTAGCTGATGGCAAGCCTAAACCCCCTTAAATGGTCTGCAAATACTGCATGTGAAACTTTTCACAATCACAGAGCCAGAGATAAGCTCCCAAGATCATTCATAAACAAAAAATACATAAGCATTCTTATTAATTTGAAGTGTGCAATCAGTTGGACTCATCTTATTAATTTGAAGTATGATAGATATTTGTGTTTGTTTGGAGAGCCACTGGTCTCGTTAAGCTACTCATTCAAAGAAAACCCCACTGGATAAATTATCAGACAAGAAGGAAGATCTGGCCTATGGATCTTAACCCAAGTTTTGATTGGAATTTACTGACCCATGGCCCATTTTGAAAATCAGTATGGGAGGTAGAACCGTAGTAACCAGAAGAATCAAAAGGTGCATCTTTTACTTCCACAAACTTAAGATCTAGTCGAATTTATTGGCCAATACCCGATGAGAAATTAGAATGGACACCAATACATGAATTACCTGAACTCATTAGTCATTGCCCATCTCGTAGATGTCAAATTTGTAAATTCATTACCTTAGAAGGCAACCTAGGAGAAGATAGCTTCTTGTCTGCAAAATAATCTAGATATTTCTGCATCACTTAATGCAATAAATGAAGCCTCCTTGGGCTACACTGCAGAGGCTATGTGAATGACATGGCAGTTGGCAGAACAAGCAGCCCAGCCAAGTATATCTGCAAATTGTTCCTTTAGGCTGTGTTTGGTTTGAAGGAAAAGATAGGGAAACCTTTACAAACATTGTATAGGTTTTCCTGCCTTTCCCTTCCTTTCCCTACCTTTTCCTTGAAACCAAACATAGCCTAAGTGAATAATAATATTAACGCATAGTCATCACCACCATCATCATCAATGCAAAACAACACCAACCATGATGATGACAAAGGTAAAGTCTTGTGAGTATTTTTGTTTTTTTTTTTTCTCCTCTTTTTTTTTTTGGTACACCCTGTTTGTGTATTTTATATCTAATGAAAATGTGTATATTTAGAACTCCACTTCCACTATGTCTTCACAAGAAGCCCCGTTCATGGAGAATATTAGAATAGTCCGCAATCTGAAACAATGTCTGATGGGTTTTCAAAATTCAATTGATCCACAGAGCCAAGAACTGTGGATAAGACTTTCCACCGTCCACAACTTGAAATAGTGGTTTTTAGTCTTTGATATCTTCTGTTTTGGATCAATTACTCCATCTACACGCATAGTCAAGGTTCTATATATGTAAATTAATGATGAAAACTATAAAAGATACTTGGTTGTACAGGCACACAAATTAAATTCTTTGGAAAAAGAACTTGACTAGCCTACTTAAGATAGATTAAAGAACATTGTGATTCCTGTTGCTTAAATGAACCAAAAAAGAGAAAGTTAAGGGAAAGGTAGCGTTAATACGGCAATTGGTAATCATTGTTACAGGGCAAGCATTCATTACCTACAAGATTTGCTAAAATTAAATAAGAAAAGAAGAATCTTGTAGACACTTTGAGCATAAACAGTAATGAAAGCAACAACTTGTGCCAAAAACTCTATTCTACAAATTCTGTTCTCTTTAATATTACAAAGATGCCACATCATACAAGAAGTCAACAGAAGGAAAAAAAAAAAGAAATAAAGAATAAAAGGAGAATTCAACTATTGGATCACTACGGCCAAGGAGAATCTTTACAATAAAATTCTTGGTGAGATACTCTGTTTGCCAATGTTTCATCACACCAATAACCATTTATTGTTTCTTAGTCTGCAAGCAAAATATACACATTAAATATTACCATTTTTGTCATTTAACTAAAATCAATAAATAAAAGAAAGGAGCCAACAAATTGGAATCAAAATAAATTGAAAAAGGATAAAACTTGCCTTGCTCAAGTACTTTTTTTGAATCTTCAAAGCATCAAGGCATGCCTTCTTTGCGTCTAATTTTTCAGTTGTGTCATTCAAAATCTGAGGATAAAGGTCCACCATAAGCTTAGTTCACATACATATATAATGCTTATCTATATATGGGCTTATTGATATTAGTAAAAGAAAGATGATTTGACCTTGACAACATCATCCACACCCTTTGCCTCTTTCAGCAGACGTTTATGCTTGGCCTCGAGGACACCCGCAACAAGAAAAACAGATAAAGCAGTATGTTGTTGGTCTGCTATTCCAGTCTTTATATTTTTCCTCTCAAATTTCCCATACTTCTTTAGCAGCTTGTCATTTCCTTTGGTTGCAATACTCTCTGTAGCTGTATTTGGATCTTCATACAAGGAGAAGATGTTTGGATTATACTCCATGGCCCAGATCAACTGAAACCAAGGATAATTTTGCCAGTTATAATATGCTGACTATGTAGCTAAAGCTATGTGAAGTAAAAAAGCTGACTGGTCAGGTCAAGTAGTGAGCTTCCCTAGATGAACCTACCTATTTCTTCCATGTGCAGGGATCTTGTGGTCAATCAAGACTGTTCATCAGGTGGGGGGTCCACTTGATTGGCCACATGTTCAACCCCATAGTCTATATCAGCAATATACCCTAGCTTGTACTGGTTGTTTTCACAACTAATATTTATCCATTAAAAGTATTGATTTTTAAATATAAAACTCACCTAACTGATGTCTCTCTCTCTCTCTCTCTCCATATATATATATATAGATATATATGTATGCATGTATGTATGTATTTATGTATGTATGTATGTATATATGTATATATGTCTATTTTGCATTTGTAGCAAGATGCTTTGGGCCAAAAGCTTTTCCATGAAGACAGAGCAGGAAGAGGAACTTGGAAATTCTTTTTGAGTTCCATACTAATTTGCCACATGTTAGATTCCTTGGTCATTTAGGGAAACTCACTAAACAACCTTTCTAGCAAACCCACTCCCATGTATGAATATATATTCATTTATATAGGCAAAGCCCTTGATACTGGAAAGACATGATGTCTGCAAGAATTCCTGTCCATTAATCAAAGAAAACCAATATCTTTTTTTTTTTTTTTTGATAGATAAAGAGGACCAATATCTTTGAGCAACGTCTTAAACTTGATTGACTGCCTTTGCTTACCTCCCAAAGGTACATTGAATCCACAAATGAGAACTCTCTTCGGAAAAGTACCATTAGCATGCGGAATGCAAATAAATATTCCCCTCCATCTAGATTCTCTGCCATCAACAACTTTCCATCAGGAATAGAGTAATAGACCATATTTTTCCATCAAAGCGGAGTTCTAGTCCAAGAATGATGGGTAAAATGCTTATTAAATGAAAGTATTGGGTGACCACAAGGGCCCGTTTTAATCCGTAGATACTGGTTGTGCAAGATTTCAATTTCTAATGACTATTTTGGTTTCCATGTGTCTAGATATCACTTACTCATATTTTGACAACCTTATTAGTGGTGGCAGTGGCACTGGTTTCCTCATAATTTTGGACCATTTACAAGACAACCTTAATGGTGAGGATGATAACATGGAGATAAGCCTACCCTTGTAAAGGTTTCAGGTACATCTCATCTTTTGTTGTGTCAATTTCTATATTCAAGCTGGGCCTAAGATGTGGGGCCTGTTTGGCACATCTTTCCGTGCGGTCTTTCGGCTGTTTACAAGCTGGGAAGACTGGAAATTGGTCTATTTCCGTTTGGCACGTGGAAGATCTAGCCACCAAAAGACGGGACACCGAAAAGACGTGAGAAGCCCATTTTGGGMTGATTTCGGGAAGCTCCAAATGGAAAGACCCGAAACGACGCACGGAAAGATGCACGTCTGACAAACAGTCTTCGGGCTGCCCAGATCTTATGTCAAAAGCTCAATGCATCTTTTGACTGTCAGAGCTACAAGAAGATCTTCTCAAAAAGACTTGCCAAACGGGCCTGGTCATAAACAGGGATATCATGAATATGAATTTTGGGTATCAGACAAACATCAGACACATATCAAGGAAGCTATGAGCATAGGACCTCAATTTATCACTAAATGTTTAACAAAGATTGACATTTTTGACATACTTCCTTTCTTTCTTCACACATTCTTCTACTATTAACAACATGCAGATTTCAGATCTGAAGCTTTTAACTTGTCAAGAAATAAGTTATATAGGTATTCTTCTCAACTCTAAATGAAATTGGTTTCAAGAATTTGAAACTCTAAGCTCAGAACAAGTAGGTTTTTCCACTTCAAGGACAAACTTAAAATACTAAGGAAGGAAAGAAATTCAATTTGTTTTCTAAGAAAGTTATAGAAGGACTTACCTAGGTGTTGGTGAAGCTTTGGATCAACAACTTTAATTACTGCTGAAAGCGTGCACAGTTGTGATTGGACACCAATTGAACTTGTTGTGGTCCTGAAGTTTGCACGCTTTTCAGACAATTAACATATGAGCCATGGTAAGTCCAAGACGATGCAAAAAGCCAATACACAAGACAAGGAGGAACAGTTCTGAAGTCAGCAAAAGAAGCTCCAACTAATGCTGTAACCTTTCACTATATAAGTTATAATCTAAACTATAGAAAAGACCAATGAATAAAGCTAAACAAGAAAAATGGAATAAAATTGATAAGATAGTGACACCTCTAGGTATATCATTCAAAATATCATGTATAAGTAAAAAAAAGTTGTTATAAGATCATATATCTTAAGGTTTATCATGTCCAGTTGAGAAACGAAGTAAAAGAATAGAAAGCTGGTTTAGTTAACTTTGCAAGTAACTTTTTTTGGAAAATAGACTGGACAGGATGGTCAACCAGCAGACAAAATAATGTCATCCCTCAGAGTGTTCTGTTCAAGCCTCTCCAAAATGTTTGTTTAATAAAATTTTGTTATCATCAGTGTTAGTGGTGTTAGTGAAGGGGTATTTCAGTCTTTGTACTTGTTGAGAATGCTGATGTGTACTGTTATATTAGTTCGAGTGCCTCTTACTTAAAGAAGGGCACTCAAGTCTTTTCCAATAAGTTAATAATATAATAACAGGTCTGGCCGAATCAAGGGATTAA